ACTAAGATATTCTATTCAATAAATAATTTTTAACAAGTGTCTGCATCACAATCACAATTGGCGAACGTCCCACTACTAGAAATGAAAAAACTGAACCAAGGCTGTTGATTAGTGTCGGAGGCTCATCACTGAAAGCTTCACTCAAGCACCAATGGTACCATTACCTTTCTCAAGCACCCACAGCATCAGCAGGACTTTGCTTCTCATCTCCTTTCCACAGGACTAACAACAAGTCAGGTCCTGAATCCCTCTCAACTCTTAAGGCAGGGCTTCCCAAACTCCAGGGTACAGCATACAGTAGCATGCATGGTGGGCGTCTTATTGTGCAACACGCCAACCCAAGATTTTCAAGTGTTTTGTCGTTCCTTCTTTTCTTGAGCATAACCATGCCTGCTCTTAACAATACTTATTTTGAGCATCAGCATGCTTGCTCATAGAAAAGCACAAGAAATAAATCTGTTTCACCAAAGGGAGGTGAAATAACCAGTTCCTTACAGCCGTAGGAATCAGGCAACCAGTTGGGCACTTGGGCTGCACACACATCTCCGCAAACAAAATTTCGACGACCACAGCAATATATGAACTCCCTCACACACAAACGATGCAACAGGAACCTGGAATTATAACAAAATATTCCAAATGATGCAACTGATTCATGAAGAATGAATTGCAGCACAACATTCATAATGATGTAATTCATTCATGAAGAAAGAATGAATTGCAGCAGAGCATTTCTGAAAAGCTGACTACTCCGTATAATTTAATCACTTAATTCAACAAGAGTAGTGTAACAAGCTCTTCTTAATATGAGGTGCAACATGCCAGTCAGCAAGCGCATAATCGGCTAGAGCCAAAAAAAAAACAGAAACAAGATACACGTGTATATTCAAGTTTCAGTATTAAGATGACCACCAGATAAACTCTACAAAGGAAGACATCAATAGAAGAACAAGTCAGTTCTTCAGTTCAATAAACAGACAAGAGGCAGCTACGTCGGTAACTATCTAGTACTGAGAAGACCACTATATAGGAGGAGGGAAGAGGGAGTTCATTCTTCAGATCATGAAACAGAGACACGAGTCAGAACAATTGGCAACATTTCAAACACTGACCAAATGAATCGTAATTTTGCATCAACACTCACGGCAAGCACTCCAGCCCAAACACTCACCCTCTAGTGTCGGAAAGAAGGTATGCTGAACAAGAGTTTGCTTGACCGGTTTTGAGTAGGACCGAGCCCTCTGCGATGGAAACTGGCAACCAACTTGCCATCCCCGTCAACCTGAAGTAACCACTCACCAAATTTGACTAGCACGAGCACATCACTCCAAGAAGCCAATCACCAAATATTTTGGACAGTATCCTATTGAGGCCAGAGTCTTGATTGGGGCAGAACTGATTCGTGCTGGAGCCGCTGGACTATGCCCAAAACGAAGGACCTACGTGTCATCAACAAAATAGGGAGAAAGGGTTAAAATTTGAGGTTTCAATGCTATCTGGAATGGGCAGATCCCAGAGAATGCAGTCAGTCCGTCAGTCAGCTCTGCCAGAAGAACTGCAACCTTGCAACGAAAAGAAGAGAATACAGTTTAAGATCAAGATACTTTTTGCTGGTTTCAGATTGATCAAACACGCAAACACACTGACATATATTAATCTGGGTGTTCAGCTTGTACATTGCATCGACATGGTAAACTGTAGCCACACACAAGAAATTTGTCCCCAGTATGTGAGTGCACTTCAAGTGATCGTGCAACAGCATATAACACACCCAGTAACAAATGATCAGAGTGAATTTGAGGCACACAATCCGCTTGAGACCAATGGTACTGAAGATGATCTTGCGCCAGTTACACAGAGAGAATGAACATGGATGGTAGTTACAGAATCTAAAGGAGAACACAATCTGGGATCTAAGCCCGACCATGATAAACCTAATCCCAAATAATGCAACAAGAAGAACAACATAGCATTTGAACACCTAACCAGATGCAATGGATACATGAAGAAGACTGAACGAACATTTATCTGAGAAGTTGACTATAATGCATTCATGCACTTTACTGAGCAGTGCTTCAAGCTCTTTAAAAGATGGTATATTGTTTTCAAGTCATTTTCATATTCACATGGATCCAATGGGATTGACTTTGTGCAAAAAATTGTTCTATTACACAAAATGAAACTCAAAATAATCTATCAACGAGTTTGAGTAAATAAACAACTCATTATTAAATGGTATGGCACAATACTTAATGAGTATTCCTACTAATCAAAGGACTCACGTAGAAAAAAACATTCGGATCCTCTCCAAATTTATTTCAAAATCTTTAAATCAAATATGCCCTTGAACTAAGAACCTGTCCATACTACGTCAGCCCCATCGATGTTAGTGTTGATGTTAATTATATTCATCTAAAGGATAAGAAAGGTTGGTGCCTTGAGGTTCAGGACGACGAGCTTTCAAACCCTCGAAGGTCGTCCGGATTATTGGTCCCAGTAAACTATTGCAGAGACCCACATGACCCATTTATAACTACTAACCAAGCAAGCAAGCACATGCCACCATGCCGACCCTTTGCCAATCCTGACTTCATGGCCAGCAGAACATCACGGGCTATATATGCTGGGAGCACAAACACACGTTTCTCAATGATTCCGCCACTAATCTCACATCAAAGATAGCTACCTCAAAAAGGATTGTGGGGTACTGGGAATGAGCACACATTAGGGTCACTAGGTATCGATGCCACAGCCTGCATTCGGGATGACAATGACCCACATGACCTAAGGAATTGGATCAACGGTACTGCATCGCACCACAATGAGATGCTCAGCATGCATTTCATCGCGCCACAACAGAATGGAAACGCTAGTGAATGCATTTTTCTTCCTATACCACAGGATCAGCATGCATTTCATCTCTTCTCATGACCTTTTCTTTGGATATTTTCGGCATCAGCTCGTCACTACATGATCTGTACAAAATTAGCACGATCATGTACACGGACTAGTTGGATTCGTATTTTTAGAGCCCATGAACCTACAGGCCCCTATTCCATTACTGGAATGAAACACCATGTTCAGCATGACAGTACCATATCCCAGCAGAGGGAACTGCTAATGCAGTACCGAAAATTATTGCACACCATCGGCAGACAACACTACCATCCAGATCAGACGAGCGCTGGCTAGAAACTAACAAGATCCATGGTTTGAATTCTTTATTTTCCTACACTACTAATCTAGAAGAACCATGCTTACAACTAACAAGATGAAGAGCTTCAAATAAGAGTCAGCAAAATAAAAGCACAACAAAACTGAACAATTATACTAAAAACATAAACCAGGTAGGTACAGAAGAAAAAATAACATACAATTCAAAATGCTAAAGCCAATCTTCTTCATATCAAAGAATGCTGAAGAGGGTCTGGCCATGAAGCGATTTCAAGGACAAAAAATACAGTTCCTAAGCACACCACACCAGTTTTTGGATGATAGGTACTTCTTTTGCTAGGTACATGCTTACTCAAGAAAACAGAGTGAACGCCTCCTAGGAAGTTCTGAATCGATGTGAACAGCTAAGGAATTACCCTGCAGGAATGACACATCATATGTGTTGTGACCAACAACGGAAATTATAACAGAATTATTCAAATGCCTAACCAGATGCAATGGGCACATGAAGAACGAATTGCAACAGAACATTTCACTGACAAGCTGACTGTAAGGCGGCGGCCATTCCCGTTCAATCTAACGAGCAGTGCACAAAGCTCCTCTAACAATCAGGATCAACTTGCTACTGAACAAAATGAGAGGATAATCTGCCATATTTAATCGTGGGCTAGAACAATACATGGAAACAGGAAACTGATGTATATTGGCTAACAATTTAGATTAAGAAAACCATTGGATGATCTCTTCTAAGAAACAAAAAGACATCAATAAAAAAACCAAGGCAATTAATTGTTCAGTTCAAAGAAAAACAGAGACATGAGGCAGGCAACTATTTCAAATGCTAACCAAAACGACTAAATAATTCTAGCATCAACATGCATGATAGCCACTTCATCCCGAAAGGATATTCACACATGTACAAATTTCACGCGACCATGAAACATTCAGAGCTCATTGATCATAACTTGTATACATCAAAACGGAACTAGCCAGCTCATGGTGGGCCTAATTCTTCATCTTCTGCTCATCAGCACAAGTTTCATTTCTCATGCATATGTTCAAATCAAAGATCACATGAAGCAACAATTCCTTAAAGTGGTTAGCAGTTAAAGTGAAGTTATATATGTAATTCTAAGTGATGCAACACGAAGGCAGAATTATAGCACTATGTTTCAATACCTGACCAGATGCAATGGAATCATGAACATGAAAGAACTGCAACAGAACATTGACATGAAAGTTGACTATAATGCAATCATTCAATTTATCTACTGCTGCTAGTCAACAAGGAGGATAATCTGCCTTTGCCATCAACCAAAACAAAACATAAAAACAGGAATCAACTCTACATTTTCTAATATTTAGTATTTATAGACAACTGGGTAAACTCTAAAAATGAAGCCCTCAATAAAAAGACATGTCAATTATTCGGTTCAATAAACAGAGACCAAGAGGCAGCTAGATTTCTAACAATTAAGTATAAAGGAGACCACTATAAAAAGAGGGAAAAAGCAAAGTCCATTTTTCAGTTCAAGAAAACACAGACGCTGATCTAAATGACTTGTAATTTTAGCATCAACATTCACAGCAATCACTTCAGCCCAAAATGATATTAATAGAAATATAACACAACCACACATCAGCAAGAGCTTCTTGATCATAACTTTTTATACATCAGCAAAGAAAACTATTGGGTTCATAGAGGATCGAGTTAATACATACTACTGCAGCCCATGTCGATTCGGAGATGTAGGCCGTTAAGAAGCACCACCACACTCATAAAAAGCCCTCAGATGAAAAGCTAAATAATACTCAGAACATAACCATCAGGTGAGATGAAAAGGCGAAGCATTGACAACATAACCCTCTAGTGCCGGAAAGAAGGTATGTGAAACTAGAGATTGCTTGAGCCGAAGTCCAGTATGCCAGAGGAATCTGCGATGGAGACTAGCAACCAACTTGCCATCCATGTCAATCTGAAGTAGCGAGTCATTGTCAAATTTGGCCAGCACGAACGCATCACCATCCCAATATGTAGCCTCCACATTCCAACAATCGCCAAAGTTTTCTAGTTGCACCATGAGCTCTGCAATCGGCAATTCAACCCGGCGTTTGGAGGCCCAGACTTGACCTTCATAGTCCTGCATCACCCATATATCAACAATGGTCTCTTCGTCATTAAGACTGAGCACGCCAAGCATGTCATCCATCTCAAACAGGTCAGCATGGTCATTTGGCGGAACAATCGGAGAGCGCATCTGCCGGAACAACTCAGCAGTGGTGTCAAATACCATTATCAGGTTGTCTGCGTGCCAATGCAAGCTACCTCTGATAAGGATAGATCCAGGGGAGTTCATCAGTTCCTTGTCACTTGGGCAGTCTACGTGCCTCGGCGGCTGGCCAGAGCCTAATGTGAAGACGTAGGAGCCACTTTGATCATCCTCTGGGCAGAGCAATAGTCGGTACTCGCCGGTAGGGCTGTGCGGGTACATCCCCAAGAACCTAAAGCCATCAAGCTGGTGGAGGGGAGCATATTGACGAGTGCCCGGGTTGTAGATGGATAAGCCACTTTCTTTACATGTGCTTAAGACGAGGAGGCTGTCACAGCAGGCCACTAGAGAGAAATCGATGGCATCATCGAGTCGAGCGATGGACTGGAGCCTGTCGGCTATCCGGTGGTTGCAGGTGAGGATGTCTATGGACGATTGGTCGTCAGTGTCGACGTAGAGGAGGGGAAGGCTGGGCTGGCGGGCGTGGTGGGCAAGAAGGAAGTCACGAGCGGAGGTGGCGCGGCGCCAGGCGGGGCAGACGGCGCGGCAGCGAAGGAGGGATTTTGGGGGGAGGCGGATGAGTATCTCCCAGATGGCGATCTCATCGGGGAGGCCAGGAAGGAGTTGTGTCCGTCCTGCTGCACTGGCGACCTCCGCCATGGTCGCTCTGGATCCACACGAGGAGCGACGGGCAGTAGGAGAGGAGAGGTCGGTAGGTCATCCTTCCTCTCGCGGATATAATAAACACACATGCGGATGGCCTAGGCTGGGCTGGGCTGTTTCTTATGCGCTTTAAGATTCTTGATGCTCTCAAACGGGCTGGTCTTGGCAGTTTCGTTTTCTCTCACCGGGCGCAACGATCGAGCTCTCAAGTATGGGCCCAGTTACTTTTCTGTTGGAAATGCAACTTTTTATTATAAGTTTTCTTTTTGACTTATTATTGTAACTTAATTTACTACTCCCTCCGTTCACTTTTATAAGGCTCTGTACATGTTTAAGACAGTGTGCAAAACAGCACAATTTCACTTGTCTGAAACGACTTATAAAAGTGAACAGAGGGAGTAGCATTATCACATAATACCGGATATTTTCAATATAAGACTGTGCGTGAGCACTAAGTTTTTTTTCGTGAAAAATGAAAAATTCTTGTATTACTCAACCTCAAAAATTACAATCACGACCGACAATGTCCAGGACTTCCTTTGGCCTAGACCCGAGCCATGCAACAGTTCGGACTGAGCTCTACAAAAGTAGCCACGAAATGACTAGCTGAATTTTGACTATGTCGTATATGAGTGATACAAGAACTGTGCTTGACTAGATTATCCTAAACCCCCTGGTCAAAAAGGTATATTTTGAAGAAAGGAATTAATATCTCCACTTTGCAACATCTTCACAGCCTCATGACTATCACTTTCAACCACTAGTAGAAAACAGGGCTAACGTTCGGGCCTGGCCAGCCCATTAGTCCCGGTTCTTCAAGAACCGGGACCCATGGGAGGTATTAGACCCGGTTCGTGAGCCCAGGGGGCCGGCCGGGGCCTCGTCGGCATTGGTCCCGGTTCATATGGAACCATTGGTCCCGGTTCCAGGCACGAACCGGGACCAATGGTCCTCGCTCCTTGCCCACAACCATTCGTCCCGCTTCGTGGCTTGAACCGGGACAGAAGGGGTGGCTTTAGTTCCGGTTCATGCCACGAACCGGGACAAATAACTTGCTTATATATACCCACCGTCGCGGCAGAGCACTCCACAGTGCTCTGTTTTTTCAAGCCGGCGAGGGGAGGGCATTTGGGTGCTCTAGTTTACCTCCTATGCACATGAGGTCATCGATGAAATGCCCGAGCCACACTAGTTAAGCTTTCTCCTCTCGAAACTTGACCTCCGAGCTCCATTTTCCCCGAGATTTGTCTAGATTTAGCGGTCTGTCACGCCCCGTCCCCGTCTTCACCGCCGTCGATCGCCCGCGCCGATCTCGTCGCCGGCACCACCGTGGTGAGCCTCTTGTTCTTATCTTCTTTCTGGAAGAAAAAAAATTCTTACCTCAGATAGATACTTGTCTAATTTTCTTACTTTTATTATTCCTTGTTATTATATAGTGCGATGCTTTTGGTATCCGCCCCCGTCGGCCCTCGTCCTGTTTATGATTCATATGTGGTATATATTATATTTTCATAACTATTTGGTTCATTTATTGTTTATGACAATTATGCCGACCAATGTGACATAGATTTAATTTATCTAGGAGGTTGTCGAACCAGAAATTCCAACCGACCCTATTGTCAAGAGGTTAAATTTAGTTGAAGAAGAAAACAATTACTTGAAGGAAAAAATAAGAAAAATTGAGGAGGAGAAAATGATATTGGAGTTGCATGTTGCGGATGTCGTCGATGATCACAAGATCAAGATGGTTGCAATGCGGTTGAAGATAAAAAAGATTAGAAAATATGCCATTCATACCGAGGCTTGGTATCATTATGCAGTTGGATCAGTTGTTACCTTGGTTGCGATTATGATCGCATTTGTTGTTGCATTGAAATGTTTTACATAATTTCAATGTATGGTTTAATTAGATGCTCTGGAGAGCTATATGTTGTTCAATGAGAACTATGTATGTACTTTGGTTTTAATGCTCTGGAGAACTATGTATGTACTTTGGTTTCAGAGTTCATTTCAAATGCTTTTCAATTTCATGGTCTTATAGCTCAAAATAATCAGTAAATGCATGAAAAATAACAAATGAAGTCAGAAAGGGTTGTAAATTGATGATGTGGCTTTGAATGGTGCATTTTGAACAAAGAAAAACTATGGTGTTCAAATAAGTTCAAAAAAAATGAAATCCCTTTGTAACAGACGAGTTTCCGTATGAAACCCTGATACTTCGAAAGAGATTGTCCGTTTTGTACACGAAGTGCATCCAGTTTTTGTCGTAACCCTCTCTACTTTCTCGCACATGCTATGTGGGTGAAATGATGATACCATGCCAACTTGGAACCTTTTCAGAGTTCATTTCAAATGCTTTTCAATTTCATGGTCTTATAGCTCAAAATAATCAGTAAATGCATGAAAAATAACAAATGAAGTCAGAAAGGGTTGTAAATTAATGATGTGGCTTTGAATGGTGCATTTTGAACACAGAAAAACTATGGAGTTCAAATAAGTTCAGAAAAAATAAAATCCCTTTGTAACAGGAAAAAGAATCACTCAAAATATATTTTTATAGTGAAGTTATTCATAAACTAGTGATTCACACAAATTTCAAAGAATTAAAATTTAAACTATTCATATTTCATTTGAAGTGCTTTTCAATTTCAAGGTCTTATAGCTCAAAAAACCAGTAAATGCTTTTATAAAACTCTAATAGCAAAAGGAATCAACTAAAAAGTTTTTATAAACCTCTAGTATTTTTTAAACTAAAATTATATAAAATTTATGCAACTAAAATTATCAAAGTATTTTCTGTTCAAAACATGAAAAGCAGAAAGAATTATCAGAAAGAATTTTTTGTTAGAAACTTTAGTAGCAAAAAGAATTTTCATAAAGATTTTTTTATAGAAACTAAAATAACAAAATCTGTTTTTGAATATAATGATAAAATGCAGTAATATTAAATAGCAAGAAAAAAATCACTCAAAATATATTTTTATAGTGAAGTTATTCATAAACTAGTGATTCACACAAATTTTAAAGAATTGAAATTTAAACTATTCAAATTTGGAAATTAATGGAGTAACAGATAGATTGTAATTATTCTGAGCTAAAAGCAAAAAGAACAAAAAAATAAAAAAAAATCAAAAGAAAAAATAAATAACTCAAGAAACAAAAAAAATACTGGAAAAAATAAAAAAATGCCGCCTAATGGGCCACACGGCCTGCATACGACTAGAAAGCCATCTGTACATGGGCCAGGATGCAGGCCCGCAAGCCCAATAGGCCCAACACGGCAGTGTCAAGGGTAGGCAACTAATGCCTATATATTAGAGAGGAGCTCAGCACCTGAGCTGCAACGCAGCTTATAAACAGGTGTTGAGCTCTCTCAGCTAGCGAGGTGGGACTAAACTTCTCACCGCACCGCACCAACACAAGGCCTTTGGTCCCGGTTGGTGCCACCAACCGGGACTAAAGGTTTGCATTGGTCCCGGTTGGTGGCACCAACCGGTACCAATGACCCCCCTTTAGTTTTGGTTGGTGCCACCAACCGGGACTAAAGGCCTCTACTTCCCGCCCTTTGGGCTGCTGAAAAGAGGCCTTTGGTCCCCGTTGGTGGCACCAACCGGGACTAATGCACCATTTAGTCCCGGTTGGTGCCACCAACCGGGACTAAAGGCTTTGCTATATAAGTTCACACTTAGGAATTTTTCACTCTCATCTCGCAGTTGCCGCCCCCGACGACGCCGACGACATCGATGCCGCCAGGCTGCCCCGATGCCGCCCGCCGCCCCCGCAGTCGCCGTCGCCCGCGCCCTCGCCGTCTCCCGCTCCCCTGCCCCGACGCGCGCCTCCCCGGCCCGGCCCCGTCGTCGCCTTCGCCATCGCCCCCTACCCCGAGCGCGCGCCCACTGCCCCGTCACCGTCCTCGCCGCCGACCCCGCGCTCCTCCTCACTTGGTCCAGCTGGCGCCATAGCATTTTTTCATATATATATATATATATATGCTTGTTTTTTTCATATGTATATGCTTGTTTTTTCATATATATGATGATATATATGCTCGTTATCATAATTGTTTTTGTTCATATATATATATGATGATTTTTTTGTAGAATATGATGTTTTTTTCATAGATGATCACATATATATATGATTTATGCATGGATGTGGATGAAATATGATATTTTTTGTTCATAGAACATGATGTTTTTTATTCATAGTTTTTTGTTCATGAGAGAGGCGGGGACGTCGAGGGATCATAGATGTAATTTTTTTAGAATTTTCTATCGTGCATAGACCGATTTTAGACCACGGGAGCACCCCCCCATCATTGCAAAAGTTGCTAAGTGATATTAAGAAGGAAGAAGAAGAAAATGAAGGATAGGAAAAAAGAAAATAAGAAGAGGAAGAAAGAAGAAGAGGAGAAATAAATAAAAAGAGGAAAAAAGAAGAAAAAGAATTTTCTATTTTTTTCTTATTCTCCTCTATTCCTTTCTTCTTCTCCTTTTTTTTCTCCCTTTTTTTCTTCGGTTGCTTCTCTTCTATTCCTTTCTTCTTCTCCTCTCTTTATT